ATGTGATATTAACTTTAAAATTAATATTTATTTTTATATTTTTTATACAAATTTATTAAAAAAGTATTTTTAACCTACGTATAAGGTGCATGTGAGAAAAATCCTTAATTATATAAAAAACAAATCACACATTGCGAAGAAACGTACTTCACTCAGCATGATCCTTTTCCGTATTTCCGTGGGTTCTGTTTTGCTATTTTGGCTCCTTCTCCAATTCCCATTCATCACTCCACTCCATCTCTGCAAAATCTTCCTTTCAGGCCTACTTTTTGTAGCCTGACACGCATTTGATATCTAACGTTTCCAGGTTTCCGCTAATGGCTCTGCATTTGTGACTTCCCAGTCACACCCCTCCCATTTGGCAGAGAAAACTCCACTCTTTTTCGTTCTGTTGCTTTCTGTTTTGATTTGAAGCTCTGGTTGTGGGGGTTTGGATTTGTCTTGCCACTCTACTTCTCTCATCTTCTTCCTTTTGTCGGTTTCTTCAGGGGTTACTTGGTGCTTTGGAATTTCGAGGGGTTGTGTTTAATAGACTACGGTCATGGGGTTTGTTTCATGAAATTTTCTGCTAGAGTCCTGGTTGGTTTCTTTGTGGGTGCTGGATTTGCCGAGAATGGGCACACATAAGAGTTCCTTTACATTCATGGTTATGACTAGGGGATTTCCTCTTCAAATCGATGTTTTAATGTGATGAGTTGTAACATTGATTTGAAGAGGAAGTCCCCAAGCAGTAGCCGTACCCCTCAAGGCCTCTTATTGGTGCCCATTTCCTCAGCAAATCCAGTTTCACAAAACTATCATCCACGGTTTCGAGATATTATATATCCTGAATTCCGAAGGCTTGCAAGGTGTTCAAAGCAGATTAAGAAAATTAGAGATGAAGAATTTCAGCCACAATTTTCAGAGCTCATTCAAGGGTTAGTGATGTTTTATTCTTTCTAGTCAGAATTTCTTGGACATCTCAGGTTTTTGCCTTCATAGCCGCTTGTTATCTCTAGCTCATCTTGGATTTCATACTAAGCTTTTATCTGAGTTAATAGTCTCTCAATACTGGATTTATAATGATGTTGCAGGCTGAACAGGATGTGGAAAGCCATGCTTGAGTGCCATAACTATCTCATTAGCATACCATTCAAGTAGATCAACAGGTACAACTGAGGGAGCTACCTGGACGCATTTCATGGCTCAGTTCCTGTATCTTATGTGGAAGCTTTAAACAACTGGCTGCAACATTACATTCTACAACTACAGGAGCATTTGAGAAACAGTAGACCATTCTCCCCTCCTCGTGATTTGACGCCACCAATATTTGTTCTGTGTCGGGATTGATCAGCTATGTAATAATACAACATGAGCACTTTTAAGTTTTTGGTTTGAAAATAGATATTTGTGAAATCTGAAAGTGTTGCAAATAGCAATCAGGAAGAAATAGAAAAGATCTCTTAGTTTTAAAGTGTTGCGCCAATACTAATACTACAATAATAACTGAATTGAAGGAGCAATCGCCTTTCATGACAAGTAGAAAACAAACAAGATTCAGTTGTATGCTTTACAACGTCTGTTACTTGTATCAGACAGCGGAAGTAAATGTAGTTTATGTTGGCTAACACTTCTTCTAGAGAGGTAACAGGTTTTTCTTCAATCAAAAAGAATTATATTGCCGACAAAAGTTTACACACAGCGCCATTTCCCTTTGATAACCAATATTCAGTGTGGTATAATAATAATGAATCATCTATCTGTTTTGGAATTCACTGTTTCTTCCATCTATCTTGGCATCCACAATCCTGGAAAAGTATCTTTAACGATTTATTGCTTTCTCAATGAACTTGAAGCCGACATACTGAGTGTACTGGGCATATGCTTCGGACTGCATGGCAATTGGGGCCCTTGTAACTTGATCTGGAAGATCAAATGCATCTACAAGTTCCCCAGCAATGTTTCTCACTTGAAAACTCAGGTATTCTGTGAGCTTGTGGATTGCCTGCACGAATGAACATGCTTTAAATTGATGAAAACGGTATAACAAAACACAAACCATATCCCTCAAACAAAGAGGATAACTTGAATATCTTAATGTATCTTCCCTTCTAAATCAAGCAAGAAATGTTCGTAGTCATCCCAGTTCCACACAGATCACAAAAGCAAGCATGAGATTCAAAAGTTCCATTTCTATTTCTTAACAACTTTTAATCTTGATTTATACATACCTTAGCTTTGTTGGGTGCAACATAGTCAACATTACGGTAAGTTCCTATGTCTTTCCAGATTCGATCCAAGGCGTAAAGGTCACATACGAGTTTCAGAGCAGCTCGAGCATTTGCATCAGGGCAGCTGGCAAAGTAAATGAGAGTCACATTAAAAATTCAAATAAAGAACAATGTAGAGTATAGACAAAGTCCAGAGTAGAGTTTAGTTGGTACTTCTGGACAACTTCAACAAACTTTGCAAGGATGACAGACTCAATATGAGACTCTGCAAGTGTCAGAAGGTGATTCAAGCATCGATTCCAGGCACCAAACATTCCCAGAGTTTTAGAGTGCTTGCGAAGTCTTACAGCAACACTTTGAAGTAGCCTTGATGTTCGGTACTGAAACAAATGAAATTATATTAAAATCCCAAGCACAAGAAAGCAGTTATGCATTACAACCATTGTTACGGACCAAGATAAACTCACCCTAAAGGCATCCAATTGGAATTTAGGATCTCTCAAGTGACCTTCACCTTCCCAACGAGCAGTTACAGGATTTGGCTGAGACAAGTATGTATTCATAGATTCTCTCAAGTAGTTCCATGTGACTGTAAGAGTGCCACCTTGGAACTTCTCGTTATATTGCTTCAACAGATCGCCAGCCACCTGCATAGAAGCAAAAATCTTAGATATAGCTTGAATCCAGAAGAATATGCAAGGTTTACTAACACCAGTACCAATTACATATACTTCAAACAACCCAAAAAAGACAACTGAACCAGTCTCCTATAAGAGGGTTTAGGCTATTTGTTATGGACAAGTGAAAAGGAGAAAAAAATCTTAAGAGAATCAGATTTCCTTATCTCTATAGATGACCACCTAAATACCATGAAGTTCTTATTGAACTCAACAAAAATCCCAGTAAAAGATGCCCATCTAGCAATAACAGAGCACATATATGATTAGATGAAAAGGAGGATTTACTGAAAAGAATTAAGAACCCTCCCCAAATGTGTTTGGTAAAAGATAAATATCATAGGAGCGTTGGAGGTAAATTCATGCTTGAAATTTTAAGATAGTGATACTTATAGCCATATATTTTCAGTCAATATGGAAAAACTTACAGCACCCAAAACTTCACATGTTGCACTAGTAGTTCAGAACCATCCACTATGGCAGAGGTAATCTCCAGGTAAACCAGAAACTTGGAGTGATGATGACACTAAAGACCAAGACCTATTCAATCCTTGGCCACTCATAATTGTTTCTTATGGTCTAGAAAACCGTATATAATTTGGCTTCATGCATTTTATACCAAAACAAGCAATCTAAAAACAATTAAGTCTTAGCATAGTGGTAAAAAGTAAGATAGGATGAGACTCTAGTGTTTAAATCTCTCACTTTTATTAATGTTAGTGAACTGTTGCATATCAAAGCTAGTGAGATTAAGGGGATTTGTAAAGAACCTGTTGTAGAAGCACAGTGTTGTCCCCTTCAAATGTCTGGAAAATATCATGATCATTCCTCAAGCTACCAAACCGGTTGACAGCAGCATACCCATGCCCTCCGCAGGCTTCTCTGCAAGTGCTCAATGACTTTGCTGTGAACGATGTGATGTAGGACTTGAGACCTGCTGACAGTGCGTGAACATCTCCAACCAGTTGTTCATCATGAGTCTTCTTCATCTCTGAATATTTATCAACCAAATACTGTGCAGAAAAATGAAATGCATAAGCTGAAGCCAACATTGGCATGAGCTTGTGCTGGTGAGATTGATAATCAAGAATGCTGACTTCAGGCTTCTTGGGAGGACCAAATTGTTGGCGGAGTAAAGAGTATCGCACGGCAATTATGACAGCAATTTTGAGGACACTCACAGAAGAATATGCCAGGGCAACTCTCCCGCCTACAAGTTCCCCCAAGGTAGCAGCAAATCGCTTATTTATTGTCGGGAGACTGCTAGTGTATTTTCCATCCCTAGATACGTCTCCAAATCGATTAAGAAGATTATCACGCGGAATTCTAACTGAAGTGAATCTCAGTGCACCATTATCAACTCCATTCAGACCAACCTTATGGCCACAATCATGTATTTCAATGCCAGGGAGCGTCTCATGGGTCTTCAAATCCCTTATTGGAACAATGAAGGAATGAACACCCATATCAGAGACTCCTTTTGAGTCATGAGTTGGCAACATCAGCTTGGCAAAGACAGTTGCAAACTTTCCATGAACTGCAGCATTGCCAATCCACCATTTGATGGCCCCGTCATTTGGTGTGTTGATTACAAACTCATCAGTAAGGGGATCAAATGTTGCAACAGTCTGGATACCCTGAACGTTTGAGCCTTTGAAGAACAAAAATTTACAGTTCAGTTCAATTAACCATACTCGGTATACTGCTAAGTGCTAACTACAAAAGAAAATATTCAGGAGAAAGAAGCAGTATAACAAAATACTACAGTGATATGTAATGAGAAAACAACAGTAAGATAAAATAAAAAGCACAAAATATTTTCCTACATGAATCATTTCACATTTTAAAACTAATATTGAAATTGATGCCAGAATGAATAAGAAAATCTTCTCTCTCTCTTTTTTTTTTTTTTTCAAAGTAATGCGGTTAAATAACTAAAATCTGCTGTCCCTAGAGAGTTCTATGCAGAAAAGAGGGGGAAAAAAGGCCCACCATGCAGAATGATATGAAAGACATATACCTGACACCAGAAGATACAAAATTAGGGGGAAAACTAGATGAACAAGTACCAGACAAAGGGCTTACCATGATGAAGTTCTGTCATAGCAAAACAACCAGGATACTCTAAACTGTCAATACCATCAAAATACTTATCCCGGTGCTTTTTAGTTCCTAAGTTGAGCACAGAACCTCCCCAAAGACTGCATAACATAATGTCAACCAGAGAATGAGCTAGGAAGATATAAATTGTTGAATTTGTTGAAATTATAAAGTATGAATCACTTAACGCTTAATATTAACAAAAACATCAATAAAAAAGATACTTTGTGCATCTCATATTGAGTACTTGTATCGGCAGATTAACTAAATTTAAATTATTGACAAAATCTAGCAATCTCAATATGGTTAAGAACAATAATACTGAAATCACATAACACGATGAAGTAGAATAAAAAAGTTGATTCATTCCCAATGTTCCAAAATAAAAGAA